AACCTAGGACTGGGAACCAGGCAAGGAGGTCCACTCTCACCACCCTTATTTTACACATGGCAGAAGTTCTAGCCAGTGCAATAAGGCAAGAAAAGGAAAGAAAAAGTATACACATCTGAAAGAGACAAAACTGTTCCTGCTTGTGGATGATATGACTGTCTACGCAGAAAATCCCAAGGAACCAACAAAAACTCCTAGAACTAACAAGAAAGTTCAGAAAGGTTGCGATACAAGCTGTATAAAGAGCAAAGAGGAGAAAGCAGAGGGTGGATGGGTTGAAAAAAGTAGAAGACTCAATGGTCTGAAGTCAAGAAGAGTTCAAAGAATGCTTTTACACTGGGAGTCAGTGGGCAAATAAACAAAAAGGAGAAGCTGGGGGGGGGGGGGTTTTATTCTGCTGCTACTGCAGCTTCTCTATGCTACCTGCTACCTAAATGTTCAATGGCTCCAGCAAAGAAGAAAATGAGGTGGTTTATTTTTTGACAGCAATTAAACACCTTGCTGGTCTCCCAAAGTTACTGATGAGAGACCAAGCTATTTGGGTTAGGAATTCTAAAACCTTTATATATGCGCCTTTCCGTTATTCTTTTCTGGCTCTAACAATTAAAATAGTAAGTCTACGCATCAACAGGCATACCTCGTTTCGGTGCGCTTTTTCTTTACTGTGCTTTGCAGGTACTGCGTTTTTTTGGTTTTGTTTTTTTACAAATTGAAGGGTTTGTGGCAAACCTACATCAAGCAAATCTATTGAAGCCATTTTCCCAAACAGCACTTGCTCCCTTTGTGTCTCTGTGTCACATTTTGGTAATTCTCACAATATTTCAAACTTTTCCATTATTACTGTATTTGTCATAATGTTCTGTGATCAGTGATCTCTGATGTTACTATTGTAAAAAGATTAAGACTTGCTGAAGGGTCAGATGATGTTTATCATTTTTTTAGCAAATAAAGTATTTTTTAATTAAGGTATGTACACTGTATTTTTTTTCCAGATGTAATGCTATCGCACCCTTAAAAGATTACAGTATGGTGTAAACATAATTTTCATATGCACCGGGAAACCAAAAACTTCATGTGACCCGTTTTATTCGCCTTACTGCATGGGTCTGGAACCGAACCTGCAACACCTCCTAAGTATGCCTCTACAGTAAAAAGCTGAACAGGCCTCTAAGAAATTTTGAGTTAAGGCTTTCTTACAATCTGTTATTTTTTAACACAGAGCCAAACAGAACTGTTTTCACCTCAGCCCTACCCCTATAAGCACATACACACACACACACACACACACACACACACACACACACACACACACACACACATATACATACATATGCACATTCCACAAAAATAAGGAAACTGGGGGCAATATTCACACCTGGACAATTAGAATAAAATGTTGCTGGGATGCTCCCAATGCCACAGGGTTTTGGTATTCCTGATGATTAAATCATGTTGTCAGTTCATTAAAACTCACAGAATATTCAAGATATATGTGAATCAAGCCATCATGATGTATCCCTTAAACTTATACAGTGATGCAGGTCAATTATTTCTCAATAAAACTGGGGAAAAAATACTCATGGAATGCATATATATAATCTTCTAGGCAAGGCCTCCAACATGGTGTGGTCTTTCTCCCCATTGCCAGCACTGTAATGAGATTCTGTCTCATACATAATAAAGGCATGAAGCACAAACTTGCTTTTCTGTCACCAATGCTACCTCCTTGCCCATTGCTTTACATATTGGTGTCAACAAGTTTTAAACTGGAAAACCACACGAATACACACACACACAATTAAAAGCATGTGTCAAGCCGGTCTCTTCAATAAGTGATGCTGGGAAAACTGGACAGCTACATGTAAAAGAATAAAATTAGAACACTCCCTAACACCATACACAAAAATAAACTCAAAGTGAATTAAAGACCTAAATGTAAGGCCAGACACTATAAAACTCTTAAAGGAAAGCATAGGCAGAACACTCTCTGACATAAATCGCAGCAAGATCTTTTTAGACCCACCTCCTATAGTAATGAAAATAAAAACAAAAATAAACAAATGGGACGCAATTAAACTTAAAAGCTTTTGCACAGCAAAGGAAACCATAAACAGAAAGAAAAGACAACCCTCAGAATGGGAGAAAATATTTGCAAATGAAGCAACTGACAAGGGATTAATCTCCAAAATATACAAACAGCTCATGCAGCTCAATATCAAAAAAACAAACAACCCAGTGAAAAAAATGGGCACAAGACCTAAACAGTCGTCTCTCCAAAGAAGACATACAGACGGCCAAAAAACACATGAAAAGATGCTCAACATCACTAATTATTAGAGAAATGCAAATCAAAAGCACAATGAGGTATCACCTCACATCAGTCAGAATGGCCATCATCAAAAAAGTTACAAACAATAAATACTGGAGAGTGCATGGAGAAAAGAGAACCCTCTTACACAGTTGGTGGGAATGTAAACTGGTGCAGCCACTATGGAGAACAGTATGGAGCTTCCTTAAAAAACTAAAAATAGAGCTACCATATGATCCAGCAATCCCACTCCTGGGCATATATCCAGAGAAAACCATAATTCGAAAAGATACATGCACCCCAGTGTTCACTGCAGCATTATTTACAATAGCCAGGACATGGAAACAACCTAAATGCCCATCAACAGGGGGATGGATAAAGATGTGGTATATATATATATATATATATATATATATATATATATATATATATATATATATAGAGAAA